GCTTTGATAGGTTTGATCAATGAAAGAATTCTTCTGGTATTGTTTAATTTTAAAGATGATTGTTTTAAAAATGTAAATGAATCTTTTAAAAGTATGAAAGATATAACAAGAAAGTGCAGAGTAATAAGAACCAGTGATTTCTTTCTGCTATTTCAAAAGGGCAACCCTTGTTAATAACCTATCAAACTTGTCCTTTATCAATGTAGATTTATTCTGTCCACTAAAAACTCCATTCATTGCTATTATTCGGTATTACTTTATTCGTATTCAATTTTACTTCATGCATATTCAACGTTGCTCTATGAATATTAGACGTTTAAATTTGAAAACGGTACCTCAAACGCAATATTCAGTTTTTCCGCCCTATCATCATTTGCTTTGTTCTCCATCCAAGTTTTAATGGAATCGATTAATAAAAGTTTGCCCCCCCCTCTTACCGCCCTGTAGAATTTATACGAGAACTCACGATTAAATATTATTATGGACAAAAGGGATCGCCACACTTGTCCCCCTTCTTTGATTATTATTTGCTCGGCTTCTTGCCTTCCGAAGTGCTAATGGAATCGGTTAATCGAGTTTCCACTTAATTAAATTGAACCAGAGTGATGTCATTAAATTATCGGGTAAGGTCTGTTTGTACAGTAAATACGTTATAATTGATCGCCCTACGGGCCATGTATCTGGCGAATTCATAAGCATTTTTCAAGATTGATCAAAAAAGGAAGTCAAAATATTGTCTTTTAATCATGCATATATTCCTCGGCCAACAATTACCAGTGCTAGCGTTTCATTCCCCAGCACTCGATAAATCAAAAATAAAAGTCTTATAGGTTCACCACGTGAAAAATAATTCTAGTTTAGCGGAAAACTCAAAATTCGTGAATTATTTCGTGAACATTCCTATCCCTTTGAAGGGGAAGAGACACTCAGTCACTTCCTGTGATTGGAAGCATTAGCCAGGTAGGTGCAAGGGTGGTAATCCCCTCATCTTTCGAGGTAGACAACATTAAAAATAAAACGGAAGAAATAATAAATAAAAGTTTCTTAAATAAATGGTATTCTTCCTTTTGTTATTGTGTTTTATTGCTTCTCTCCTTTCCGTCCATAAACCTCCCTCTCCTATGAAAAAAGTTGAATTCAGAAAGTTACCACACCTTTCATTTGGATACGTCCATGACTGTAAGTATAAATTATTGACAACGTTAAATTTCTCCTTGAGATGATTATGAAAAGGAGTAAACTAAGAGTCACAGTCACCTCGAAGGACAAACTAGGGGCCTAGAGATACAATTTCAAAAGCTCAGTGTTTCTGAGTCATGTACCCCCAACAGTAGAACCCTCCCCTTTGTATTTTCAAGGATTCTCCCGGTTAAAGAAACCATTCCGCCCCTATTTCTCCATTATGTTCATCTACCCTTCCAAAAACTTGGTCCATTATGAAACTTTCGTATCGCCGTTGGCATTGGAGTCACGATATACAACACTGTCTAGCTAGCTTGTCCTAGAATCCGATAATTATTGGCGATGTTCACGGACGAAGAATTCGTGCATGACGAAAGTAAAAAATCAGATACGGATTCCAAATGGATGGTGGGTTTCAGGCACTCGGTAGCCACGCTCCTATCGTACCTACGAAGATTCTCGGCGACCCGGATGAGCTGGATCGCCACCTGGTGCACAGCGTGCCGGAGACGTATAACATACGTCACGTGCAGAGCGATACGGCATACGACAACGGCTACATGTACTCGCAGGAATCCGACGTCGAGATGCATGTGAGTTTCTCAAACATTTTAACGTCTGTGGGCGCCGAAGCGAATATTTACTGTCGACCAGGTTCAGGGATAGAAAGGTTTTATATCCAAATCTGGCGAATAAAATCGAACTCGTGGAAACGAGTCAAGTATTGGCAGTTTTATAGGCTTGAATAATTATTTTTATTTTGTTCGTGTTCCTCGTTATTTTCATAATTATTTTCATGTTTTCTAGTTTGATTTAGAGTCACGTTTGGACCCTGCAAATGTGGGAATTTAATTCATTAAATTAACATGCAGGTAGAGTTTAGTTGGTTTACATACGAAGGAGGTTTTTTAAAGTCAGATGTAAAAGGATTTATGTAATTAATGTATAACGAGAATTTTCTGAGCTTAAATGTAGAATGAATTTAATAAATTAATACGTAGTAAGAACTTCCTAAGTAGACATATAAAACGAATTTATTGAATTAATATATAGGACGAATGCATTAAATTACCATTTAATAATCGTACACATAACAAGAATTTATTAAATTAATATACATACAAAATTTATTAAACTACAATTTAACAGTCATACATATAACGGGAATTAACTAAATTAATCTATAAAGACAATAAAGGCTTGGAAGCACAAAGTTTCTGTTGGACCATTTTTGCCATTCTCCACTCGATGTTACAATAATTTTATCGTAACTTGTTGATGAAACTGTTTGTCGAAGACGTTCTCGGTTCGTAGGCGAGACCTGGTCTCATCATGGACGTAGTACGCAATCCAATGCCAATTGGAGCGATCCCAGTGATACCGGCGGTCCCAGTGCAGATCCCTGAGCTGCCTGTTCTCACCATGGACACCATCGACGTTAATTCACTGCCAGAAATGGAACGCTTCACCGTCGAGCTTAAGAAGGACATTTACGGCCTTGGGATCACTATTGCTGGATACGTTTGCGAAAAGGGTAATCCATGCGCCATTTATCAGTGTCAGCTAAAACTCGAAGCTCAGACTAACTCAAACTGGAACTTTCCATTGGCTTTTGTACTAAGCTGAAACTTTGAATGAATCCTAACTTGTGGGATGTTTTTTCGTTACTATAAATTACTATCATCGTGTTCTAATTCGAGTGTTTTTTTTTTTGCAGAGGAGTTGTCGGGTATTTTCGTAAAAAGCATCAGCGAGGGTAGCGCGGCCGACTTGAGCAACAAGATCCAGATCAACGATAGAATAGTGGAGGTAGACGGCCATTCTTTACAGGGTTACTCGAATCACGAGGCTGTCGAAGTTTTAAGGCGCACCGGGCAAACGGTAGTTTTATGCCTGGAGAGATATTTACGTGGACCAAAGTACGAGCAGCTTCAACAGGCAATTGCGGCCAGCGAACTGAGACTACCTCAGCCCAGCTCGCCATCGATAACAAGTCTACCAAGCTTTCCCATTAGTGCTGTGAGTTTCCCTCGTTTATTCGAACCGTAGACAGCCTCCATTTTTCAATATTAAACTTCGAGAGTATACGTCATCCGACTTTGTTAAAAGAATAAATTAACGAGGTAGGAAGTAATAGTCCACGGAAGAAGTTAAGTTGGTAACATAATATAGTCTCCAATAATAAATCTGATTTAATGGAAGAGTCTACAGTATGTAAAATAATTAAGTACTGAGATTTGTTCGTCAAGCTGAGCTTCCTAAATATCATATTCTGCTGTTCCATTATTCTTCGTATCGTCTGCATATTATGATAATTAGAGAAATAGCTTAATAGGTCAGGATAGTGATCCCTGTACCCTGATTAACTCAATTCGCGTCCATTATTATATGGTCTACTGCTCTGTTACAGGATGGAGAAACTACTACCGAGATAGAACCGGAAGGCGAGTCACACACAACCGTAGACAGCGCTGTCCTTCAAGAAGGTGAACGTGAAAGGGCCTCCGAAGAACTGGATGATGCAGCTAACGTCGAGGCTCTATTGAGCGATCCATCCAGCGAGCTGACGCCACAAATTCGGGCCGCGATCAAGTCCAAGTGGCAGAAGATCGTTGGTCCAGACACGGAAATTGTGGTACGTAACAAAAATTTATAATTTTGTCATTTATACAATGTTTTGTAAATAACTCTCTATGGTCTAGCTATACTATCTGTTAAAATCCTTATTCACGTCATGTTGACAAACTCTATTGTCTGACTAGTAAAAGTAGGAGTTCTACGTGACAATACTTGTAGGATTCTATTTGTCAACTTTATTCAATGACGTTATGCTAAACTGCAGAGGGTTAATTAACAATTATTATTTGCATTTGAGTACAGAGATAAAGGGCGTTTCCTTTGTCTTTGAGCAGGTGGCACAGCTGAAGAAGTTCGCAGAGGGTAGCGGTCTTGGGATCAGTTTGGAAGGGACGGTGGACGTGGAGAACGGCCAGGAAGTGAGACCTCATCATTACATACGATCGATACTTCCGGAGGGACCTGTAGGACAGAATGGAACGCTGCGTTCAGGGGACGAATTGCTAGAGGTACCATCTTGTTTGTCAAGTTGAAGAATCTTGTCTCCACTTAAACGTGGTTACCATCGAAATTAACGCCTCCGGCACTTTGATGCTAACTTAAAGTTTGACAACAGCTTACTCCGCTGACGGCTAAATATACATTAATATTCATTCCAGTCTGGAGTAGCCAGCAGAGCAACTCTACATAGAGATCTCTATTTACATAAATTGAATCACTTTGAAACAATATGTTAACTGATACTGACTCTATTAAATATTCAAAATAATCCCCAGCAAGAGGATTTATAGACTACATGCCTGTTGTGCCGGAGGGGTTAACTTTTTTAGAAGGTTTACTTATTAAAAATTTTCTTTTGTTTTTCCCCAAGGTGAACGGATATCGGTTGCTCGGTATTAATCATATGGAAGTAGTTAGCGTGTTAAAAGAATTACCTATACACGTTCGTATGGTTTGCGGGAGGAACATCGCGTCGCAAGATCCTCTCTGCCCCATCGATACTGCTCAACATCAGGCTGCGTTCCAGACCAGAGTAAGACATCGAATACTCTGCGAGTGAGTAACGCGAGTCGATGTCGAGTCTAACCACGCAATGTTTATTTTGTAGAGCATTCTTGGAGGATCTCTGCAAAATTTATTGCCAACTATGGATCGTCTGGTGAAAGCCAAGTCCGATGGTTCGCTGGCCTCGACGACGACCACGGCCACCGTGACCGACGCCAGCTTGAACAAGATGAAATCACGTTCTCTGGAACCGTTGACTGGCCTTGCGATGTGGAGCTCCGAGCCGCAAATCATCGAATTGGTAAAAGGAGAGCGGGGCCTTGGGTTCTCCATTTTGGATTATCAGGTATTACCTAAACATCAACTCCGCATTATTAACCATTTGATACCTGGAATCATTTATGCCGTACTAATATTATTGTTGAACATACCCAAAACCATAATTAGGGAGCAACGTTGCAAAATTATGGAGACCAGAGTTATTAACTTCCCGATTTATAGGGGTTGTATTTTTTTAAATTTCGGATCATCGTTTCAGTTTCTGGGCATAGATAATCCAGAGGAAGAATTTAATCAGCATTCAAAACTATATTCACCCTTCCATCTCCAGTCCTACATTCTACCATCTAATGACTTTTTACTAATCACTAGTCTGTCAATTATGTCTAACCTCAAATGAAGTATCGAAACATTGAGGAAGATTAAATATTTAAATTAGATTCGTGGTTGTATAAAGAATACTTTGATTGGAAATGTTCGCCGCCCAGAGCATAGTCACTTAGCAGCAGTAGTTGAGGCGCGATAGTTCACCTGAAGCACGAAACAACTTTGCTCGGTTGCAGGATCCAATGAACCCCAACGAGACTGTGATAGTAATAAGATCCCTGGTGCCTGGAGGTGTGGCCCAGGTGGACGGGCAACTGATACCAGGCGATCGCCTTTTGTTCGTCAACGATATCGCCCTGGAGAACGCGACCTTGGACCAGGCGGTGCAAGCACTGAAGGGAGCCCCGAAGGGCACCGTTCGCATCGGCGTGGCCAAGCCGTTGCCAATACCCGACAGTATTGTCCAGGTGAGCGATCAGGACGATCGGATCGAACCGACCAGTGATAGGGATAACGAGACGACCATGTGCTCGATTATGGATAGCCACAAACAGAGGCGAGAATATTTCAGGGAGCGTAAAATGAACGTAATCGAGCCGCCCCATCACATGGATTTGATCGAGGGATTGAAGCACCAGCATAATCTTGTTAAATCCGAGAGTTTCTAAAGTGTCCAAGTTTATTTAGATAAAAAAAGAATGAAATCGTTCAAGAGCACACAGTTTTCCGAGATTATTCAGCCTCTGTTGGACAATATACATATATATATATAAATATATGTGTTCCGCGAACCCGCGTGTCTTCGAGACGATCGACTATTCACGGCAACGTTTCATGATCGATCGATTGTTTCATTGATTAGGGCTCGTGTGTGTGTGTATGTTGATTTTTTTTGTTTGTTTTTTCTAGACCTCCAAATAGCGAAGACATTTTTTAAGCTTTCTCGCTTAGTTTCTAGGATCACGCGACCGTCGCAGCGCAACGACACGTTGCGCGATTTTTCCGGCAACATTCCGTCCATTGACTTCCTGATACTTTGAAATGATACTCCGTTACGCTGTCCGGGACCGTCGAGCGATGATTCTATTCGCTGAACAGCTGATCCGCTCGCGACGAAACTCAGTGCTCAAATAGTTTTTATCGAATCGTTAAAAGTATTCATTGAAAGGGAGTCGACCTGGTTTTTCGATGCAGGGTCACGATCATTTTGTATTCGTGAGATTCCGGCATCGTTCTTTTTGATACGAGCTCGAAGTGAAGAGTATTAACCAGGGAAGGAAACAGTCAATTATTTTTAATCCTGTCAGAACTTGTGCTTTTTCTTTTGAAAGGTATCTGTTTCTGCGTGAATTTTATGGGAACAAACTTTTACCTTGAAAACTTTTTTGGAGGTTGTTCCCGTGAAACAGGTATTTTGGAACTCTTATAATCGAAGTTCCAAGGTGATAGCCATTTTAGACGAAACTATACAAATATTTTAGCCAATAGTATTTTACCTAACAAACACAAGACTTTCAAAGTACTTTCAAGGTACTTTCAAGGTGTATTACTTCTCAAGTGATTGAGAACTTTTGTGATCTGATCGTCTTATTCAAAAACTTTTATTTCTGTTTCATATAAATTTTATTCCATAACTTTTATTTAGCCATTCTCATTGAAACTTATATTACGAGAACTTTTATTATAGAAATTTCGTTTTATCTGTTTCAACGGACTAATTGAAAAGTTTCGCAACTGTTTCGACCCCTGGTATTAAGCGCCTTAGTATTATCGTCGAATCACGCAGGCCTGATATACCTTCAGTATGGCTTTACTGAATTACATTAAAGTTTATATTGTTTTCTGTTAACACGCCTCCGTTCATCTCGCAGCAATTTTTGAAATTTTATTTATAGTTATGCCACAGGATTGCTCGTTGTTCTTTGCACAGAGAAATACATAAGACTGCATCTTACCGATCAGCGTGAACTACAACGCGGTTCATTAGTAGATAGACGTTTGGTAACCTTTGGGAATCTTACTTATTTTTACTTCGATCTTTGGGATTATATATGCGATTACTTTAGGAGTAAAAATGATAATTATAGCACAACGAAGGTAATATCTTCCTTTGCAAATCGGAATAAAAATTTTACAGCGTCTATGAGTTAAGAATAAATAGGGTGCCGTACACGTTGTTTTTATTTTGTTTAACATTATCCACGAAAACCCTCATCCCTTTCATATTTTCTATGTGTCATACTAATTTATTTTATGTTTACCTGCACTGTTATTTTATGTACACCTGCGTTTTCTGTTTGTTAATTGTTTTGTATAATTCATGTTCTTTTCATTTGTGTTTTAACAGTTGGTGTCCGATCACACTTTCTTCGAATAAGATTATTCTGGATCAATTGTTTAAATAATCGTAACTTTGCTGTATTCGAACCAGATGTATTCGTTATTCGAGGGGCTTCAGCGACGAATAAACATGGATGTTCCTCCTTTATTCGTCAATTCGCTTGAATGAAAATTTATTCGTACTTTTATTCGAAGTAAAATTTATTCGAAATTTCATTCGAGCGACGCCCAGATCTGGTTTCAATACAACATCCTAACTGATCAAATACGCGTCGACTTGGACCCGAGGTGTCCTAGTCTTATCGATCGTCGAACGAAGACTCTCTTTAGGCCGTGGACTAAGCTTAGATAACACAGTGTTATCGGAGCACGGTAAATTGTCGGGAAGAAGAGATGGTAAACGAAGTCGCGTTCCCCTGCGAACGTGACCAGTGTGCGAATCCAAATCTAAAATGTTAAACCCCGACGTGACCGGTCCATCCGTGTGTCAGAGAAAAGAGAAGAGAACGAAAGGGTACGCGCGAAAACACGTGAATGGATAATAAAATACGAATAAAAAAATATATACACGGCGATTCGATTAACGCGGATGGGTTTTAGAAATGCCAACCATCGGACGAAGTAAGTACTGAACAAAACGATTGTAATAGTGAATGAAAGTTGCCTGGTAGAGTAGCTGAACAGAACGAACGGTATTTTGCATTCGACTGACTCTATTCTCACCATTTCTTCGACCTGTCCGAAGCTCACGACGGTGACACACTCGTACGCATACACACAAAAGTCACGGACACATACATACAGACATGTACACGCTACAAAACGCAACTGTCTTAGAGATCTTTGTTTTAGCAAGTTGCATTCATTTGATGAATTTTTTTTTGTTTCCACGTACAGTGATTCTCACTTTCGAGTGACGAATTCACTTGAAAGCGGGGTAGGCTGCGACCCTTGGCTCAGCCTCTGGTTCATGGATCTAGAATGTGAATGAAAGGGCAACATCGAGACTGTGGGTGGCGTTATGGATCAGTAGTTGAAAATACAGTTTGGTGAGGTTTTTATGATCAAAATGAATCCAAACACGACCCTATTTGATTTTAATCACTTTTTAGAAATTTCCAATTAAAAGTAGTTCGACTAAAGTATCGAAGTTACAAGTTTATTTTGACATTCCATTTAATTTGTATTTACAGAAATTATTTTCAAGAAGATCTACTGTTCGTGCGCCAGAAGAATTACCACATGCATTCTTTTCGCGCCCCAACAGTGCATATCAGTCGAAAGCGTTAGAACTTCAATAAAATTTCGTTAAAAACAGTCACATGAAAGCGGGGAATTACTGTACCACATTTGCCGTTTGTCTCTTTACCAGGGTAGGGGTGAGGCTGAGGGTGACGGGGAGGAGAGTGAAAGGAACTGCGTGGCTGGGAATAACTTTCGAAGGAAAAGCGTCCGTCTAGAATAAAAACGGAAAAAAAGAGAGAAAACGGTTCTCGAAGAGATTGGAACTATCGTTTGGAGGGGTGAGAGTTGGGGGAGTGAAAGAAATAGGGGAACAAACGTGTCGAGACAGTACGAATAGGGGGCGAAGGGATATAATTGAATTTATCAACAAAAAGAAAATATATATATATATCTAAAGGCAAAAACACGTGTTAAGGAAGAGGCAAGTAGAAAGAAGAAAGTTCACCAGATTTTTCTCTCCCACCCCTGAGACCCTGCCCCCGTCCGCCCTCACTGCTTCTCTTTGTCTCTGTTTTTATGTATCGCCTATTATCATTTTCTGTTCGATTCTCTCTTAACGAATCTAACGATATGTCACAGCTCGTATGTGAACCTTTTCACCTTTTTGTAGAGGTCTACTACCATTCCACTACTGTCTACTACTCACTGGCACCTTTCTTCACTATTATCAAGAGGCTCCCGTGTCCGGGGATCGATACGTGTACGTTATACCACTACTTAACACGGGGGACACGTTTATACCTGAAACTACTACTCTTCTCGACTACCCAACCACCCCTGAATACTCGAAACGAGCAAACGGATGGTATAAGCCTTTCCTCGATGGTAGCCGCTGGATAACTGCCCGCAAGTTACGTAACAACAATCGATTCTCCCGCAGGCTTCCTTTTTTCTATTTCATCACCTCGCGTGTACGTGTACTTTTTTACTTTTTCAAATACATGTTAATATACACGTATGTACACATCAGCATAGCTGTGTATATATATGTATGGTTTACCTTTAAACCGGAGTCTCGAAGGCACGCGATTAATCACTGTCGTTACTGTTCACAATCGTCATCGTCATCCTCGTTATTGTTCGCATCGATGAGTCTTAAAAATCCCGTTGCTTTCGTCGCAGGCCGATGACTTTCGTTAATGTGACCGAGTCGTATGGGTGGGGACGGCCCAACGGTGGCCTTGAGCGACCAGTTGAGTTTGAATCGACTCGGTTGGGTAGAACACGATTCTGACAGACTTATTAGAAGGTTGATACTTCCCTTTTCACTATTACTTAGTTTGTACTTTGTTTAACTTTGTGGAGATTACAAGTTATTACTTGTATTAGGTTTAGTTATTTTCGTAAAAGGGATTTATTTAAATAAAATATAATGGTTTCTTTTAGGCTATAAACAAATCATTCTGTTGCAAGTGAAAGCGTATGTATCTTTTGGCTGATACATATTAAGTAGATTCCAACAGAGAATTATTGATGAATCCACATTAATTTAAAACTCATTGAAAATCTGAATAATTCAGTGTTCTACCTAACTAACCATAGTCATCGCCGTAACTGCTGCCATTAACACTTCGTCTTGCTCAAACATATTGAAATATATCTTCCATTCATAATATCTCGCAAAAAGCATCTATATCGTCACATCGATAAGAACAATAATAACTCTTCCGCTAAGAATAGTTGAATGCAATCGCGGTGATCTACCGTGCAACACGTGCTAGCAAAACGTGAATTCACGTTGGTTGCGCTATAGATAGAGCCGTCGGACGAAGAAAGTTTCAGATTTCCTCGAAATACCTCTTCCTCCCTTCGAACTCGACAAACTAAAATTCCAGATCACCTAAAATCTTTCAAATTTATGCCGTTGAACGCTCAACCGGAAGTCTTAAGCGTTCAACTCTAAAACTGGGTGTCCAAATTGATTACGAGCACGCCCCCAACGCCAGAGACACTGCGGGAGTAAATTGGAAAACTTGAAACTATTCTTCGTCGGTTTTATCCTCGACCAAAGGCAAGGCAAAGTCGTGTTTCAGCTTTGAATCGAGTTTCCACGGCGGCGAAATGTATTACGACGCCCCTTGCTTTTATCAACGTCGTCAACTTTCCAAACGCAGCCCCGAAATTTGCCTCGCCGCTCGGTACATCACTTTAAGCTCTCGTTGCAACATCTACTTACACGAGCATGAATCATTTACTAGAAAAGGGGAATATCAAGCGGTGGCGTATGAAGTTTCGAGTTGCCTCGAATATTTAGAGGACGTACCAGAAGCGGAAAGTCGATTTAGTGTGCTCTTCAGACCTCGACTGGTAGGACTAACTTTTGGCTGGCATGCGGTCAAAGGTGACCCACATTGATCCGTCAGTACCCACGAGGAAAACTCAATTTTTAGGACTAGTAAGATGAATTTAGTTTCTTTTTTTTTACTAGCAAGCTTTCTGTGGTAATTTTGTATTTTATTGATTGTGGGGTCGAAGTGATTCACATTTAATTTTCAGAACTCACGAGGGAAGTTCAATTCTAGAACTATTAAGATGGATTTATTTTTTATTGCAAGTCTTCTACAGTAATTTTATCATTTTTTGTTTGTAGGTTCGAGTGACCCACAGTGATCTTTCAAAAATAACGAATAGTTGAATTTTTATTTCATTAATTTAAAACTCCTCGTCTTGGAGATTTTTCAAGTTAAATTTATTCTTCAGTGTACCTACATTTATTTTTCATTACTTCAAACTATGCACATATATTTTCTCTTATTGTCTAACTCAGCTTTATTGAGAAAGTTGTTTCACCTCGATCAATTATATTAATTTTTTTGATGAATCATATTTATCAGAAAGCAGGTCTTCGACATAATCTTTAGTGGAAAATTCCAAATGGAAAACTCTTGGAGAAGGTCAGGGTTCATACCCCCGGAAGCCTCGAGTGCTACCAGTTGTAAGAACCCGGTCAGCGCAATCCTCGAATATCTCATTATACTTCATCCTATCAGTCGAGGGTTTAATTTCGTTCTCGCGTTGGCGTCGTTTTGACATCGAACGCTATTCCTCGTTTCCGCTAAACGATTCGAGTCCGGTGCAAAAGCATCTCTAGCGTCTAACACGTTAGCGCTTGTTTCTTGGTAGAGATCAAAGATGAGCAAAATTTTCATTATATAGCAGTTTGTTTGCGTTACACTTTTACTCGTTCATTCGTTCTATCAATCAACCTGAAATTTCTATTCAACGAGTGGAGAATACAAATTTCCGTATGTTTTTATCGTTTCCAATATTCCAAACGTTTATTTAGATAAAACTTTTGCTCATCTCTGGTAGAGATTAGAGGGAATGCTCCGCGTGGAATGCGTACGGCCGATCACGGTACTAGCCATTGTTTTTAATCGGGACCGTTATGCACGATGTTTCATAATTCCTTGTACAATCGAGAGTAGACTGATTTCTTGTCAAAAAATGAGTCGAAAATGTAGAAGAAAGTTTTTTGATGAGAAGCTTCCTTTCTGAGATCATTGACTTCAAATACGCATGGGGAGCGTCGATTGAAATACAATTCACTTAATAAATCTTATTCCACGCATTATTCATGAATCTTATTACAGAGTATATTAACTTACTAACAGAAACTTGGTTTTCAAATTAATATATTCAAATTTATTTTTTTAAGAAATCCGAACGATCAAGTGCCCACGTACCCCAAATATTTTTAAATTCAATTATCTCGCCAACGGAGCCCGATAGAAAAAAATTGCAACCTACATTTTCAACTCATTTTTAGACGAAGAATCGTTCCCTCTCGGTTTTACCACAGATTACGCAACACCTTGTATAGCGTCGGTCTTTGCACGCGTTCCCGCTACTAATTCGGCAATTTTATTTTCATTTTCAGGGCAATGCTTAAACGTCCGCACCGGGACCGTTTGCGAAGCAAGTTCGATCAATTTGCCGCAGTTAACCGACCAAAGAACGAACAATCGAACGAAAAGCGAATAGAAAAAAAAAAATATTGAAAGATACACACGATGTGCACGTCTATGACCGTTTTATTAATAACAATGATATTCATATCCGAAAGCAATGACCAATCATGATGTAATATTATACATGAGTGTTTTCTTTTGCCTAAACGTGTTCTTCGTATGAAACACCCTCCACGTTTCCCATTTTTTATCGTTTCAGCCTTATCATGCGTTATCGGCGAGGCTTACCTTGCCTGATCGAATATTTTCCAACGGACTGTAGGAAAATGCCTTTTTATTTTCCACTGGAGCTCCCGTAGAAAATGGATTTTTATTTTTCACTGGAGCATTCTTGTAATATTTTCCACGCGCCGTAAAAGTGAATAGAAAATTTAAAAAATCGGAACGTTAATCTATCAAATTGTTGATTCGACATTCATCTATCATTATATTTGTTTTATCCTTATATTATTATAATTATTTCTCTCTCATTAATCACTTTCGTTGTATTGTTTAGTATCCATAATTTTTTATGGATATCTGTTTAGGAATAAGTAGAAGTATCAGTTTATTTATCAACAAGACAATCGATTTCGCAATTTTTACATCGTAGGATGTATTTTGCGAATAGGTAAGTTTTCAAGTTCATACTGTTTGAAGCGATATATCGATTCGGTGACTTTCATATTGTCTTTGAGACGTATCACCAGAATGTAGGAAGTACGAAAGTTTTTATTTCTCTGTGATATTAAATTGAATGTTGAATACTCAATTTAATATTAAACAGAAAAATTAGTTTTAAATTTATTCTGAATTTTCAAGGCGCCCCCGTGGAGGTGCAGCCCCTCGATATTTTTTTTGAGGCTTCGACAGCCAATTCGCGCGCGTCATACTCCCTCCCGAATTTCCGCCGCGCGATTTTGCTCGCACTTTTCGGTAATCTATTTGTCAAATTTGAGCTGGATCGAAGCACTCGACGGAAAGGTGAGGATAAAAACGAACGAGTCGTTTGACTCGCGAAAATGCTTACTTGTCTAATGAAACATTAATGCTTTTTGTCTTACATAACGGGATGTCGACTTCCATCAAGACAAAAGATTCGGATCTTGGACGAAAGACTGAAGTGTGTTTATCGAAAGAGTTTTTCAGTAGGCGATACACCCCTTTGAACCTGCTGTCTTCTCGCTGAAACATTATTTAACCCTTTGTCTGCTACATAAAAGTCCTCACAACTATCGAAATTTTTATTTAGGAATTTTCTAGAATTTACTATATTGAAAATAGTGTTTTTAGTACTTTTACATGTTTATATTTGCTGGAATACACGATCAAGTGAATAGATAATAATAAATTAATTATATTTAGTGCCTGGCGTCGAAGGGTTAAAAATGGAGAGTCTTTCAACTACACCCTGTACACTTTGTACATACAATATCGCTTTCAACGTGTTGTACTTTTTATCAAATACACTGCCCAAAGTATTTTATTTTAGTTTTTTATTTTATAACAAAGTATACGTCAGATGATCGAGTTAAAAGGGATACCAGATACAACTTTTTGGCTTTCGTTGACAATTCTGACTTATTTTTTAATTTTTTCATATATTTCTAGGTACCATTAATGCAGATAAACATTGTGAAATTAATTTCAATGAGGGTTTTGCTATCACTGATTAATTCAGCAGTGAGAAGGTTAATTAACTGTTTGAAAAAGTCGACAGTGAAAGTAGCTGTGATTGGCTATCCATGCACTTCGTATGCTAGTGATTGAGTACACAAATATGTCGTCAGTGTATGTTATCATCAGCACTAATTACCACTGGATATATATATATATATTTATCCTTCTATTTTGTGGCTAGTTAAGAAATTGGACGATTTTTTACAAGTTTCATGATCCTTTATTCGAATATTGAGTCAAACCATAAACAACGCAGTAGAATCGTCTACATTGGTGTAA